GAATAAAGATAGTGAAGAGAGTGTGGATGTGTAGAAGTAAAGGAGAGAGGAGGAGAAAAGGTCGAAGGATGAGGAAAAAGTAAAGGAAGAAATAAGGAGAAGAATAAAGATGATTAGCTGAAGGTGGAGGTAGAAGTGAAGGAGAAAGGAGGAGAAAAGTTCGAAGGATGAGGAAGAAATAAAGGAAGAAATAAAGGAAATGAAAGAATAAAGATAGTGAGGTGAGGGTGGAGGGTAGAAGTAAAGGGAGAGGAGGAGAAAGATCGAAGGATGAGGAAAAGTAAAGGAAGAAGTAAGGGAGAAGAATAAAGTTGATGAGCTGAAGGTGGAGGTGTAGAAGTGAAGGAGAAAGGAGGAGAAAAGTTCGAAGGATGAGGAAGAAATAAAGGAAGAAATAAAGGAAATGAAAGAATAAAGATAGTGAAGAGAGGTGGAGGGTAGAAGTAAAGGAGAGAGGAGGAGAAAAGGTCGAAGGATGAGGAAAAAGTAAAGGAAGAAATAAGGGAGAAGAATAAAGATGATTAGCTGAAGGTGGAGGTGTAGAAGTGAAGGAGAAAGGAGGAGAAAAGTTCGAAGGATGAGGAAGAAATAAAGGAAGAAATAAAGGAAATGAAAGAATAAAGATAGTGAGGTGAGGGTGGAGGTGTAGAAGTAAAGGAGAGAGGAGGAGAAAAGGTCGAAGGATGAGGAAAAGTAAAAAGGAAAATTAAGGAGAAGAATAAAGATGTTTAGCTGAAGGTGGAGGTGTAGAAGTGAAGGAGAAAGGAGGAGAAAAGTTCGAAGGATGAGGAAGAAATAAAAGGAAGAAATAAAGAAATGAAAGAATAAAGATAGTGAGGAGAGGGGGGAGGTGTAGAAGTAAAAAGGAGAGAGGAGGAGAAAAGGTCGAAGGATGAGGAAAAGTAAAGGAAGAAGTAAGGGAGAAGAATAAAGATGATGAGCTGAAGGTGGAGGGTATTAGTGAAGGAGAAAGGAGGAGAAATGTTCGAAGGATGAGGAAGAAATAAAAGGAAGAAATAAAGGAAATGAAAGAATAAAGATAGTGAGGAGAGGGTGGAGGTGTAGAAGTAAAAGAGAGAGGAGGAGAAAAGGTCGAAGGATGAGGAAAAGTAAAGGAAGAAGTAAGGGAGAAGAATAAAGATGATGAGCTGAAGGTGGAGGTGTATTAGTGAAGGAGAAAGGAGGAGAAATGTTCGAAGGATGAGGAAGAAATAAAGGAAGAAATAAAGGAAATGAAAGAATAAAGATAGTGAAGAGAGTGTGGAGGTGTAGAAGTAAAAGAGAGAGGAGGAGAAAAGGTCGAAGGATGAGGAAAAGTAAAGGAAGAAGTAAGGAGAAGAATAAAGATGATGAGCTGAAGGTGGAGTGTATTAGTGAAGGAGAAAGGAGGAGAAATGTTCGAAGGATGAGGAAGAAATAAAGGAAGAAATAAAGAAATGAAAGAATAAAGATAGAGGGAGAGGGTGGAGGTAGAAGTAAAAGAGAGAGGGAGAAAAGGTCGAAGGATGAGGAAAAGTAAAGGAAGAAGTAAGGGAGAAGAATAAAAGATGATGAGCTGAAGGTGGAGGTGTATTAGTGAAGGAGAAGGGAGGAGAAATGTTCGAAGGATGAGGAAGAAATAAAGGAAGAAATAAAGGAAATGAAAGAATAAAGATAGTGAGGGAGAGGTGGAGGTGTAGAAGTGAAAAAGAGAGAGGAGGAGAAAAGGTCGAAGGATGAGGAAAAGTAAAGGAAGAAGTAAGGGAGAAGAATAAAGATGATGAGCTGAAGGTGGAGGTGTATTAGTGAAGGAGAAAGGAGGAGAAATGTTCGAAGGATGAGGAAGAAATAAAGGAAGAAATAAAGGAAATGAAAGAATAAAGATAGTGAGGAGAGGGTGGATGTAGAAGTAAAGGAGAGAGGAGGAGAAAAGGTCGAAGGATGAGGAAAAAAAGTAAAGGAAGAAGTAAAGGAGAAGAATAAAGATGATGAGCTGAAGGTGGGAGGTAGAAGTGAAAGAGAAAGGAGGAGAAAAGTTCGAAGGATGAGGAAGAAATAAAGGAAAAAAATAAAAGAAAATGAAAAGAATAAAGATAGTGAGGAGCGTGTGGAGGTGTAGAAGTAAAGGAGAGAGGAGGAGAAAAGGTCGAAGGATGAGGAAAATTAAAGGAAGAAGTAAGGGAGAAGAATAAAGATTATTAGCTGAAGGTGGAGGTGTAGAAGTGAAGGAGAAAGGAGGAGAAAAGTTCGAAGGATGAGGAAGAAATAAAGGAAGAAATAAAGGAAATGAAAGAATAAAGATAGTGAGGTGAGGGTGGAGGTGTAGAAGTAAAGTAGAGAGGAGGAGAAAAGGTCGAAGGATGAGGAAAAAGTAAAGGAAGAAGTAAGGGAGAAGAATAAAGATGTTTAGCTGAAGGTGGAGGTGTAGAAGTGAAGGAGAAAGGAGGAGAAAAGTTCGAAGGATGAGGAAGAAATAAAGGAAGAAATAAAGGAAATGAAAGAATAAAGATAGTGAGGAGAGGGTGGAGGTGTAGAAGTGAAGGAGAGAGGAGGAGAAAAGGTCGAAGGATGAGGAAAAAGTAAAGGAAGAAGTAAGGGAGAAGAATAAAGATGATGAGCTGAAGGTGGAGGTGTAGAAGTGAAGGAGAAAGGAGGAGAAAAGTTCGAAGGATGAGGAAGAAATAAAGGAAGAAATAAAGGAAATGAAAGAATAAAAGATAGTGAGGTGAGGTTGGAGGTAGAAGTAAAAAGGAGAGAGGAGGAGAAAAGGTCGAAGGATGAGGAAAAAAGTAAAAAGGAAGAAGTAAGGAGAAGTATAAAGATGATTAGCTGAAGGTGGAGTAGTAGAAGTGAAGGAGAAAGGAGGAGAAAAGTTCGAAGGATGAGGAAGAAATAAACGAAGAAATAAAGGAAATGAAAGAATAAAGATAGTGAGGTGAGGGTGGAGGTGTAGGAGTAAAGGAGAGAGGAGGAGAAAAGGTCGAAGGATGAGGAAAAAGCATAGGAAGAAGTAAGGGAGAAGAATAAAGATGATGAGCTGAAGGTGGAGGTGTATAAGTGAAGGAGAAAGGAGGAGAAAATGTTCGAAGGATGAGGAAGAAATAAAGGAAGAAATAAAGGAAATGAAAGAATAAAGATAGTGAGGAGAGGGTGGAGGTGTAGAAGTGAAGGAGAGAGGAGGAGAAAAGGTCGAAGATGAGGAAAAAGTAAAGGAAGAAGTAAGGGAGAAGAATAAAGATGATGAGCTGAAGGTGGAGGTGTAGAAGTGAAGGAGAAAGGAGGAGAAATGTTCGAAGGATGAGGAAGAAATAAAGGAAGAAATAAAGGAAATGAAAGAATAAAGATAGTGAGGTGAGGTTGGAGGTGTAGAAGTAAAGGAGAGAGGAGGGAGAAAAGGTCGAAGGATGAGGAAAAAGTAAAGGAAGAAGTAAGGAGAAGTATAAAGATGATTAGCTGAAGGTGGGAGTAGTAGAAGTGAAGGAGAAAGGAGGAGTAAAAAAGTTCGAAGGATGAGGAAGAAATAAACGAAGAAAAAAAAAGGAAAATGAAAGAATAAAAGATAGTGAGGTGAGGGGTGGAGGTGTAGGAGTAAAAAGGAGAGAGGAGGAGAACAGGTCGAAGGATGAGGAAAAGCATAGGAAGAAGTAAGGGAGAAGAATAAAGATGATGAGCTGAAGGTGGAGGTGTAGAAGTGAAGGAGAAAGGAGGAGAAAAGTTCGAAGGATGAGGAAGAAATAAAGGAAGAAATAAAGGAAATGAAAGAATAAAGATAGTGAGGTGAGGGTGGAGGTGTAGAAGTAAAGGAGAGAGGAGGAGAAAAGGTCGAAGGATGAGGAAAAAGTAAAGGAAGAAGTAAGGGAGAAGAATAAAGATGATGAGCTGAAGGTGGAGGTGTAGAAGTGAAGGAGAAAGGAGTAGAAAAGGTCGAAGGATGAGGAAGAAATAAAGGAAGAATTAAGGGAGAAGAGTAAAGATGATGAGCTGTAGGTGGATGTGCAGAAGTGAAGGAGAAAGGAGGAGAAAAGGTCGAAGGATTAGGAAAAAGTAAAGGAAGAAGTAAGGGAGAAGAAGAAAGATGATGAGCTGAATGTCGAAGTGTAGAAGTAAAGGAGAATGGAGTAGAAAAGGTCGAAGTATGAGGAAGAAATAAAGGAAGAAATAGGGAAATAGGAAGAATAAAGATGGTGAGCTGCAGGTGGAGGTGTAGAAGTAAAGGAGAAAGGAGGGGAAAAGGTCGAAGGATGAGGAAAAATTAAGGGAAGAAGTAAGGGAGAAGAATAAATATGATGAGCTGAAGGTGGAGGTGTAGAACTAAAGGAGAGAGGAAGAAAAAAAGAGCGTAGAAGTAATGGAAGAAGTAAGTGAAGCAGAAGAAGAGGGCAAGTTTATTGAAGTAGATAAGGGAGGATGTGAAAATGCCGAAGGGTGGAGTAGAAGTAAAGAAGAGAGAAGGGGAGGTGTATTTGTAGAGAATGGAGGGAGAAAAAATGTAGAAGTGGGAAAGAGAACTTTGGGAAGTAATGAAGAGAGATGTTGGGCCTAGAAATAGAGGAGGAAGAAAAAGAAATGTAGATGGATTGAGATCCAGTAAAGAAAGAAAGGCAGTAGAAAAATGAAGATAATGAACAGGGAGAGTGTGTAAAATTAGTAGAGGGAGGAGAAGAAAAGATTGAAAGGTGGAGGAGAAGTAAAAGAAGTGGGGCAAGTAGAAAAATAATGAAGAAAAGGAAGGGGGGGATTAGTACAGGAGTGGGTGGAGTAAAGGAGGAAGTAGAGGAAGTTGAAGAATAAAGATGATCAGCTGGAAGGGGGGTGTAGGATTAGAGAAAGGAGGAGGATAAAATATCGAAGGGTGAGGAAGAACTAAACGAAGAAGTAAGGGAAGTAGAAGAATAAAGATGATCAGCTGGAAGGGGGAGGTGTAGGAGTAGAGAAAGGAGGAGGAGAAAATATCGAAGGGTGAGGAAGAAGTAAACGAAGAAGTAAACGAAGAAGTAAGGGGAGTAGAAGAATAAAGATGATCAGCACGAAGAGGGAGGTATAGGAGTAGAGAAAGGAGGAGGAGAAAATATCGAAGGGTGAGGAAGAAGTAAACGAAGAAGTAAGGGAAGTAGAAGAATAAAGATGATCAGCACGAAGGGGGATATGTAGGAGTAGAGAAAGGAGGAGGAGAAAATATCGAAGGGTGAGGAAGAAGCAAACGAGGAAGTAAGGGGAGTAGAAGAATAAACATGATCAGCACGAAGGAGGAGATGTAGGATTAGAGAAAGAAGGAGGAGAAAAGGTCGGAGGCTGGAAGAAAGAAGTAGTAAGTGAAGTAGAAGAATAAAGATGAGGTGCGGGAGGTTTAGAAGTAGAGGTGAAGAAGAAAAAATAAAGATGAAGAAGAGGGTATGGATGGTGTAGTTGTAGAGGACAGAGGAGGAAGAACGGGCGAAGGGTGGAGGAGAAGTTCTGGAAGAAGTAAGAGGGGGACGCCTAGAAGTAAAGGAGGGTGATGGAAAAATGTAGAAAGGTTGAGAAGCAGTAAAGAAAGATTTAAAGGAATTAGAAATGTCAAGATGATGAACGGGGAAAGAAAGTGTAGAAGTAACAGAGGGAGGAGGATAAAAGACGGGAGTGTGAAGAAGGGGTAAAATAGAGGAACACATTGCAGACGTAGTAGTAGGAGGAGAGTTAGAGGAATGAGAAATAGGAATCAAAGAGAGGACAGGAGTTCAAAAATGAAGGCAAATATAGAGGAAGTAGAAAATGCAAAGACTCTTAAGGGGGAGACGGTGGAGGAGGAAAGAGACGGAAGAAGTAGTGGGGGTAGAAAAAAAGTTGGAAGGCTGAGCGGTAAAAGAAGAAGAATGAGGAAGAAGAAGAAAGTGAAATAGAAAGAAAAAAACACACCAGAAATAGAAAAGAAAGATAAAGACCATGGACAAGTAGAAGAAAAAGAGGAACGAAGGAAACACGAACATTAAAGAGAAATAAATAGAAACACAAAGACCTGAGGAAACCGGGGGGTGGCCCAACGGTCGAAACGTTATAACAAGAAAGATGAGGATAATAGTCCGCATATAAATAATGATAAACCCTAACCCCCAAAATTCAGCTGAAAATGTCCATTTATTCTAAACTGAATCTTTTCCTACTACTTCTTGTCATATCTCTTGAGGGCGTAAGCGGTTGAAGCTCACCACAGCTTCCTTTTCAATATCTGTTAATTCCTATTTAAATTGCTTGGACTATCATTCTCATCTTTCTTGCCATATTTATCACAACGTTTCGGTCGGTGTACGCTCCGGCCTCCTTCAGGTGGTTGGAATGTCGAACTAACCCCTTTATTTCGCTCGATCGGGTAGACTGTTCTAGTTCCACGTGCCATGTCTAATGGATGTGTTATCTCCTGTTAATTCCCCTCTCCAAGTTATCCATCGCCTTAACCAGGGATTGAACTCCCACTCTTTGGGTCCTGTCACTGGATCTAACTAACGCATTTATTTAGACATGGCACCTGGAACTAGAACAGTTTACCCCAGCGAGTGAAATAAAGGGTTCAGTTCTACATTCCAACGACCTGAAGAAGGTCGGAGCGTACAAAGGCCGAAACTTTGTGATAAATATGGCAACAAATATGAGGACAATAGTCAGAATAATTTAAATAGTGTACATAATACCTCATCAGAGAAATATAGACAGATACTGAAAGGCCGAAACGTTATAATAAATATGGCGAAAAAGATGAGGACAATAGTCTGAATAATGTAGATAGTGTACATAATACCTCATCTCAGAAATATAGACAGATGCTGAAAGGCCGAAATTTTGTAATAGATATGGCGACCAACATGAGGACAATAGTCCGAATAATGTAAATAGTTTACATATTACCTCATCTCAGAAATATAGACAGGTACTGAAAGGCCGAATCGTTGTAATAAATATGACGACAAAGATGAAGACAATAGACCGAATAATGTAAGTAGTGTACATAATACCTCATCTCAGAAATATAGACAGATACTGAAGGGCCGGAACGTTGTAATAAATATGACGACAAAGATGTGGACAATAGTCCGAATAATGTAAATAGTGTACATATTACCTCATCAAAGAAATATAGACAGATACTGAAAGGCCGGAACGTTGTAATAAATATGGCTACAAAGATGAAGACAATAGTCCGAATAATGTAAAGTGTACATAATACCTCATCAAAGAAATATAGACAGATACTGAAAGGCCGAAACTTTGTAATAAATATAGCGACCAAGATGAGAACAATAGTCCGAATAATGTAAATAATGTACATAGTACCTCATCTCGGAAATATAGACAGGTACCGTTAATTCCTAATATAGTAGAGTGGATTTACGTTGCCTTTACCGCGGATATGATTTCATATTATCCTTCTAAATTAGTTGTTTGTTTATCCTGTGACCCTTCAGGGCGTTGAGGTCATGACTCTCCGCAGCTTCCTTTTCATTAACATGTGTAAATTATTATTACAATGATTTTAAGAAGATCAAACTAATATTTTTCAACGGTGTTACTTTTTTCAATGATATATTCAATATAGATGTAAGCGATCATGGCTCTCCACAGCTTCTCTTATTGTCTGTGGGATGCCATAGATATTTGGGAAATATACTGGAGTCGTTTCCCCCGTAGAATTCAGCTTTTTTTAATTCTCTATATATGTCTAATATATGTTTAGTTACTATCGGAGAACAGAGAGTCCGGTCTACCCTGCTATTTTACTCATTTCATAGCTGGAGACGAGGAGAGAAGACAGATTCATACCTTTTTCAATGTCATATGAACGCTACTGCAATTTGAACCCAGCTCGCTAAATTCCTGCTCGTGAGTCGATAGCCGTCGCACTAACCCACACATACTCATTCATCCTAACACGGCTAAAGCGACTAGTCTACCCTAATATTTAACCACAGCTTGAGGTGGGGTGGGTGGATGGACTCGTTCATAATGGTCATTATGCCACCTTCATATGCAGATGATGATGATGATGATGATGAAAAGTATTATTGACTTTCAAAAGTAGTTGAGTAAACACGTTAAGCTGTCCTAGCTAAGGGCAGATAACTGTGGTATAACTTTTTGCCCAGATTTCTGAAAACAGACCGCCATTTTCCACTCTTGATATTTTCCTTTAAAACTATTTATTTAATCGTCTTTCCCTGAATGTTTATTACATCCTATTATTTACATTTTTTACACGAATTATAATCTTTTTTTTATTGTTTTATAAAGTTTTGTTCTCCTCCAAATGTTTTTTCGCTGCTTTATTGTTTTACTTCATGACTGCTTTTTGTAAAAGACGCCATTCTTAAAAAAATGAATAAAAGGCAAAGCGAATAACAATGTACGAACGAAAAGTTTGAAAAATTTTTCTTATAATTTATTTTTTTTTTCTCGCTTTTCATTTTTTAATTCTTAGATTTTATTTCTTTTTAATTAATCTATTTTATTTATACAATTTTTGTTTTTTAAGTTGTTTCTTTCTAATACTTTCTTTGAATTCCAACATTTTTTTTCGTTTTCTTTCTCTTTCTTTTATGTCTTCTTCTTTCTTTCGTTGTTTCTTTTGTTTTTCTTTTCTTATTATCTTCTTTTTTTTTGGACATTTTTAATTAATTCGTCTTCATTTGTATTATTTTTATTCCTTTTTAGTTCTTTTTTTCGTATTCTTTCTTAGTAGTTTATTCCCTTTGTTTGTCTGTATCTTTCATTTTTTTTCTTTCCTTCTATCATTTGCAGTCTGTTTTCTTTGTCTTTGTTTCATTTTGTTTGTTGTTTGTTTATTTGTTACTCTTTTCTTTGTCTTTCTTTCTTTCGTTTACCTTCTTTTTGCTTTGTTTTCATTTCTCTGCTATTTTTAATTCTTTCTTTCTATCGTTTGCTTTCCTTTTTCTTCGTCTTTGTTTCCTTGTTCCTTTCTTTCTTTCTTTCTCAACTTTATTTTTATTCTAGCGATTAGCTTTCTCGGAAGGACTTTTCTGTCCGTTTTCTAATTTTTTGAACTCGTTTGCTTTCTGATCCTTTCTTTTAAATTTTGAGAATATTTTTCTTTCTTTCTTTGTTTGTTTTATTCATCATTCATTCATTCTTTATTTATTTCTTTTTTCTTTCTGTCTTTCTTTGTATTTTAATTTTAGTTTCCTTCCTTTTCTTTAGATTGTTTTTTTTTCTTTTTTCCATTTTCTTTTCCAACTCTCCAAACTACTTAGTCTGACTTTATACTCCTTTGTTTTACTTTCCTTCTTTTCTTCATCCCTCCCTACCTTGCTTCCCACCTCCTTTTTTCGCCCCTTCCTTCTTTTCCTCCATTATTTTCCTTATATGTTTATCTTCTGCTTCCTTTCCTTGATTTTTCTACTTCCCTGATTAGATTATTGTTATTTTCTTTACTTCTATTTAGTTTTCTTTTGTATTTTTTTCGTTCGTTCGTTCGTTCGTTCGTTCCTATCTGCCTTCCTTAACTACTTTCCAACCTTTCTTATTTCCTTCTCCTCTTCCTTCTTCTTTTCTTCCTTCCATCATATCTTCTTTGTTCTTACCTTCCTAGCTTCCTTATTACTTTTGCTTCCTTCCTTTCCCGCTTTTTATTTCCTCTCTTCTTTTCTTCCTTCCTTCCTTCCTTCTTTAGTCTTTTCGTTGATTTATTCCTTACTTTCTTTCTTTCTTTCTTTCTTTCTTTCTTTCGTATTATCCCCGCAGTTCCTTCCTTCCTTTCTTTTTTCTTTCTTCCTTTCTTCCTTTCTTTCTTTCTTTCTTTCTTTCTTTCTTTCTTTCTTTCTTTCTTTCTTTCTTTCGTATTATCCCCGCACTTCCTTCCTTCCTTTTTATTTACATCTTTTTTCGCTTCCCATTTCTCTTCTTCATTTTCTTCTCTTTCTTCTCTTCCTAACTAATTCTTACATTCTTTTTGTCTTTTCTATTTTTCTTTTGTTCTAGATTCCTTTCTTTCTTTCTTTAACTTTCCGCCTAACTTTTCTTTATTTTTCTTCTTCCCTAATTATCCTATTGTTACTTTCTTTTTTTGTATTTTCTGTTCTTTTGTGTTTTTCCTTCGTTCCTTCATTCATTCATTCGTTCGTTCGTTCCTTCCTTCGTTCCTCCCTCCCTTCCTTCCTTCCTTCCTTCCTTCTTTCCTTCCTACCTCCCTTCGTTTTTTCCTTCCTCTCTCCCTTCGTTCTTTCCTCCCTTCCTTCGTTCCTCCCTCCCTTCGTTCGTTCGTTCTTTCCTTCGTTCCTCCCTCCCTTCGTTCGATCGTTCTTTCTTTCGTTCCTCCCTCCCTTCGTTCGATCGTTCTTTCTTTCGTTCCTCCCTCCCTTCGTTCGTTCGTTCGTTCATTCGTTCCTCCCTCCCTTCGTTTCTTCCTTCCTCTCTCCCTTCGTTCCTTCCTTCCTCCTTTCCTTCGTTCTTCCCTCCCTTCGTTCGTTCGTTCGTTCGTTCTTTCCTTTCTTCCACCCTTCGTTCTTTCGTTCCTTCCTTCCTTCGTTCCTTCCTTCCTCCATCTTTTCCCGCCTTATTCTTCTTTTCTTTTCGTCTTTTCTATTTGTCTTTCTTCCTATCTTCTTTCCTTCCTTCGTTTCCTTTTTCATTTCACACCTCCCAACTCTTCCCGGCCCTGCCTGATCCCCTTTGCATAATTGCGCAGCTTCGCGATTTTATCTGACGCTAAACGACCTGGAATCAACTGACAGCGTCAAATGAGATTTCTTCCCTCCAAGCTTTTCCTGGCGCTCGCTGTCCGCCATTTTCGAATCGAGTGACTCATCGCCAACACCAGTGTGCAACACAAACACAATGTTCTGCTTGGGTTGACGCGCCCGTCGTGTGTAGAGGGCCAACATTTCCAAATATGGTAATATGTGAAAAGAAAGAATAAAGAGAGGAGGAAGTAGGAGGAGAAGAAGGAGAAGGTGATGATGATGAAGAAGATAACATTGTTATATATATATATATATATATATATATTGGAAAATTATGTGTGTACAATAAATCGACTGAACAGGGAAGAGAGAAAGGTTGAAAAAAGAAAAAAACATGTGACAAAGAATTTATGAATGGGATTTAAAGATATAAAATATATTTCTACACAACGCAAATGAAAACACGTATATATATATATATATATATATATATATATATATATATATATATATATATATGTGTGTGTGTGTGTGTGTATGTTTGTGTGTGTTTGTGTGAGGGGTAGATGGGTGGGTGTGTATTGTATGTATAAAAAATATCCATAAGTATTTATTTATTTACTTGTATATTTTTAAATACACACAGACAGACGTACATGCACACATATACACACAAACGCATAAATAAACACACACACACACACACACACACATATATATATATATATATATATATATATATATATATGTGTGTGTGTGTGTGTGTGTGTGTGTACTAGCTAAAGGCTAGATATGAGCTAGCTCCTGGGTGGGGGGGCATTTGATTAGGCTATAGCGAGGAGGAGTCGATGCGGTAGGCAAAAAACAAACTACTGAAGAACTCAAAATTGATCGCTACATTTAAGTATTGCATTAATAATTAGACTTACCTTTTTAAAAGTTCAGCAATAATTCTTCTGTCGCCAATTAATTTAAAGACAATTTGATGCACATAGGTCCTTACTTTCCTACAAACAATTATTTTTATTTGATCGGTGACTTTCGCTGGATTTCGAAATTCATTTCCATTGTTCTCAAATTTATTTCCAAGTTGTGAAAATTGTTATCGTAGGAAAAATTCGTGTGAAAAAATGATGTAAAAAAATCGCTGAAACAAAACCAATTATGAAAACTTGGGAATCCGAAATTTCAGAATTTTAGTTCAGGATCCGGTCCAGAATATTTTAAATTTCCTCACGGAGTTGGCTTCATTCCTAATGGTAAAATAAAATAGTTCCTAAACGGTAAAATATGTTGCGCTAGTGCCTCTAAGAGTAAAGTTAGAAGTTAGTTTTCTTTCTTTCTTTCTTTTGAAAGTTAGAGAGTTGTCTCCCTTTAACTGTTTTTTTTATCAGTAGAAACCAAGATGGCGGAATCTGAAAACAATCCCAGTAATGAACTTTAGGAATCTAAAATTTCACAATTCCGAGTACGGATCTGGACCAGGATGTTTTCAATTTGCTCACGTAGTCACCCTGATTCCAAAATGGTATAATATATTGGATTACGGCCTTTAGGAGAAAAGTTTAAAAGAGGGACACAGTGATATACTGACATTTGCAATTATATATATACATATATATATATATATATATATATATATATATATATATATGTACTATTTACATTGTTCGACTATCATCCTCAGTCTAGTAGTGAAGGAAAGAAAGGGTTCAGCTCGACATTTCAACCACCTGAAGAAGGCCGGAGCGTACAACGGCCGGAACATTGTGATAAATATGACAACAAAGATGAGGATGATAGTCTGAACAATGTAAATAGTGCAAATAATACCTCATCTCAGACAAAGATGAGGATGATATTCAGCTTTGTGTAATTTTTTGGTCCACTCGTCAGGAAAGACATAGGTATTTAATTATTTACTTTCATATATATATATATATATATATATATATATAATTATTTATGGAAAAATTATAAAATATTTATGTTATAATTTTCGAATAAATAATTATATTTGCTCTACTCTGTATTGAGCACTCTTTTAAGAATACTAATTGTCGGTTATTGAATTTATTCCGTATACACCAATCCTATACTTGGGTATATATATATATATATATATATATATATATATATATATATATATATATATATATATATATACAGTAGCGTCCAAAAACTAAGGACAAAATTTAAAACCTAATATTTGTTAGAAATAACAACTGTGAAAAGCTGAAATTTTGACAACTGGTAGTCGTTATCATCCATAATAACATACTAAAATTTTAATCATTTGCAAAGGATAGAAAAAAGAATTATAACAATTATTTATTTATTTTCAAATTTGGAACGTCCAAAAATAAGGGACAAAATTGAGAAACCAATGTAAACGGCAAAAAAAAAAAACAATAAAAATACATGTACAATCAATATTTAGTAAATGAGCCCTTGCTCTCAATGACAGCTGCACATCTTCGACTACAAGAACGAATCAGTTCTTGACAATCCTCGATACTAATTTTAGACCATTCTTCTTGAAGCTTCACCCACAAATCCTCCGTGTTAGTGGGATTTCTTTCCATAACTTTCACTCCTAAGGTCTTCCAAAGATTTTCTATTGGATTTAAGTCAGGATTTTGCGGTGGCCAATCCACAATTTCCAAATCTTGCTCGCTAAGGTAACTCATTGCCACCTTTGCCTTGTGACATGGGGCATTATCTTGCATAAAGGTAGCCCTATCGGAACCTGAATTCTGCATGATTGGCACAACATGATCTTGAACAATGTTTTTATAGATCTGCGCGTTTACACGACTTTGTAACCGGACAAGAGGCGTTGTACCTTGGCTAGAAAACATTCCAAATACCATGACGCTTCCGCCCCCAAACTTGACAGTTTTCTTAGTACACTTTGCACTTAATCTTGCACCAATACGTCTCTTTACATTGTTTTTTCCATCATTTCCAAATAAATTAAACTTGCTTTCATCACTGAAAAATACTTTTGCCCAATTTTCATATGTCCAAATTACATACCTGTTTGCAAACTCTAATCTCTTCTTCTTCTTCGAACTAACAAGTGGTTTTTTCCCTGGGGTTCGATTAAACAGCCCTATTTCTTGCAGTTGTCTACAAACAGTCTGTCTTGACACATTAACACATGGGGTACTATTCATAAACCCTTTTAATTTCTGTGCAAGACTTAATACGGTCCTTTAATGACATACGCTGCATTATTCGATCTTCTCTTGCCGAAGTTTTGCGGGGTCTGCCGGTTTTAAAAGCACTAACTATTTTGCCAGTATCATTGTAGGATTTAACAACCCTGCCTACAACACTCTTGGAACGTTTCACTTTTCTGAAATCTCTCTAATGGTGTCTTTTTTCCTTGTGTAGCTTCACAATAGCTTGTCTCACAGAGTAATCAAGGTTTTGCGTTTCGCCATGGTACCTGGCTGATGCAACGTTTACAAATGACTAAGTAAGACTTATTCTTTAGAGGAAATCAAAAAATTTGAATATAGCATACTGTTTACATTGTTTTTCTCAATTTCTCCCTTACTTTTGGACGATGCTATTTTGAAAATAAATAAATAATTGTTATAATTCTTTTTCTATCCTTTGCAAATGATTCAAATTTTAGTATGTTATTATGGATGATAATGACGACCAGTTGTCAAAATTTCAGCTTTTCACAGTTGTTATTTCTAACAAATATTAGGTTTTAAAATTTTGTCCCTTAGTTTTGGACGCTACTGTATATATATATATATATATATATATATATATATATATATATATATATATAGTTATCGTTTTAATTGGTAGTACAGACATGGTTGCTCAACCATAGTTGCAAACCAGTCTAGGTGAAGTTAAACCCTCAATTGAAAACATGATAAGGGTCGTTTGGAAAACCTGTGACACACTATGTGCACTACTTCCACTATATTCGGTTCTTTGAATATGTGTGGCACAAGCCTTCGTCAATATAATCAAATAATCTTTCCTATAGTCTGGCTGTGGGTTCTAAGTAACACACACACACACACACACACACACACACACACACATAATTATATATATATATGCATAGCGGCTTGGATTGAGGAATCGGAGAGCCGAGTTCGATTTCTATTCAGATCCATTACATTCCCTAACGTGCTAATACCCTTGGGAAAGGTATGAATCCTCTTCTTCTCCCTCCAGTTATGGGTAAATAGCAGGACAGACTGGGTTCTATAGCCTTGGATACTAACTGGTCTAGGAGAAGGAAAACTCTGAATTCAAAACCTGCGGAGGGTCGTTTGGGGACCTTGTGTATTCGGCCCTGCAAAAACTCTGGATGGTTCTGCACAAAAACTTCTCCACTATAATCAAATCTCATGTGCTGTTGTCGGGCTGTCAGTTTCCTAGAAACTGATCTGCTTGACCCTCATACGTCGAATTCGACGGGAGAGTCGAGTATATATATATATATATATATATATATATATATATATATATATATATATATAAATGGGAGTGGCATGGGGAAACATAGAAAGTCGCTCATTCACTGAATTTCATACTAAGGTTTGGAAGAATACTAGAATAAAAAAAAAATAAACACAAAATAATACATCTCACGCAGTCAAAACATGAAAAGAAAATATAAAAACCAAGACAACCCCCTGACCTTGAAAATGGCCAAGAAATGGACTTAAGCGCTTGCCACAATGGAGCTTATGGATAGTTTTTGTACTCCCACACTCCTACCGAACGGAAAAATATAAAAACGCTGGAAAAAAAAAAAAATTGAAAATCCGGACCCGGAATCCTGAAATTTTGGATTCTCAAGTTTTCATGACTGCGATTGTTTTCGGATTCCGCCATCTTGGCTTCTGCTGATAAAAAAACAGTTAAAGGGACACAACTCTCTAGTTTTCAATAGAACATTTGTAAAAACTTTCCTTGTCCGTCAAATTTAACGAAAGATGT